CCTTAATCGTTTTTTTTAGAAATCGTGATATGTACTAAACCCGATGATGCAATTTATTCGTTTTGAACGAACCTAAACATTAAAATGAAAGTGATGTGAAGATATGTTTCTTTTTATTAATAAATCTCGTGTCCTGCTGTGACAATAGACAATAAACCAGTTCCCTCAAAAACACATGTACGGTATCTCGGACTATACTTGGACAAAAAACTCACCTGGAACATCCACACTAAATTAAAAAAACAAGAACTGACCAGACGATACAAACAACTGTCACATCTTTTAGACTACAGATCTCCACTCAACTTACTAAACAAGCGACTAATCTACACCACTATACTAAGACCTATTTGGACATACGGAGCAGAACTTTGGGGTTCCGCAAAACACACACACATCAACAAAATTCAAACCACACAATCCAAAATACTCCGTAAAATTGTTAATGCTCCTTGGTTTATTTCAAATCACACCATACACAAAGACATGAACATACCAAAAGTAAAATCCTACATACACAACAAATACACAACGTTTCACACTTCTACTCTCAATCATCCAAATCCACTCGTTCTATCTCTATCTTCCTCCCTGTTACCTGGTGAGCCTCAAAGACGACTAAAAAGGCAGTGGCCTAGAGATCTTTTGAAAAGTTAAGAAGATATCAGGAATCAAGAAGATATAATTAACGCCAACACATTTGCTTGATGCGTTCCAACGCAGTGGCAAATTTAAAATAACAAAATAAAAAAAAAATCTATTTTATGTTATTATTATCATAAACAAGATGTAAATTTTCTAAAGTGCAATATTTATAACTTCTCCCTGAATCATACCATATTTTCCCTATGGAAACTGAACCCCAATTAATCTTTCTTTTTTGTTCAAACATGTTTTTTTCAATTACTATTTAAATAATTAGTGACTTTCAGAAATATGTCAAAAAGAATTTCTTTTTTTTTTTAATATTGTTTACATTGTAACAATAGGAATAGACAATATAGTTTTTAGTTTTTCCTAAATAATTGTCAATGATGATTAGTGAGCCCTAATTTAGAAATGAAAGACTCGTATGTGGATTGCGAAATTGCCAATCTTGTAATAAAGATTTCTTGTCTCGGAAAAAAAAGAGAAAAATAATAATATAAAATGGCTGGAAAATATTGTTAAATTGATATAATTTCAATAAATGACTATTTTCAAAGAAACACCATTATACTTCTAATTCGTCATAGATATTTTTTAAAATAATAAGTATTGTATAAAATACCATTCAAGAGCGGCACTGCGTTATACAGTTTAGTCATGGTTATTGCTGTTTTAAAATTTTACTGAAGAAAATCAAATAAAGAAAGCATGAGATATTTTTACTTAAGTCAAAATGTCTTCATGAGTTTTCTGACCTTATTTAAACAATATATTTCGATTTTCGCTATAATTTTGAATTCTATAAATAAAAAAAATTGGTAAAATATTGATTATACCTTAGTTGCAGTAATTACTAAAAATGTGAAATAATACTAAGAGAGGTCTTACTCAGCAGTGAGGCACAGTGAGCTTAGTATTAATTTTTAAAATATTTGACCTTAAGATTGTTTCTTAATATACCGAGGATGATTTGGAAAGCGTAATTCTTTCTATGCGAACAACCTTTCAATCCTAAAGGTTAAACGTCAAAGACTTAGCATCATCCAACAGGTTTTTAATTGGCTTCGAAACCAGTACCTCATTGCGGTACCGTTGAAAGCTTTTAAATTCAGTTTGTTCCTCCGTTGTTCATAGCTAACTGTTTTTAAGAGTTATTATTATCCTTTTATATTCCCGTGTACTTGTAATCGTTTTTCCATATTTTTGTATCTATAGGAGTGCTTAAACAGGCTGTACCGTAAGAAATAGGAGATGTTTTAAAAGGAAATTGATTTCAAATGTTAGAACAAAAAAAGAACATTTAGTTAGTCATTTAACGCAATGAGAATAATTCCCATAATAAGATCTGCTTAAAAGTTATGTGTCTACTTTTTATTTTATTTGATTTGATTTTTTTTTTGTTGCCTCTACCCTGTAGGGTCATTGGCATTTTACATATTCTATATGTTTTACCTGTTAAAAGGTCAGTAATTAATTTAATACAAACTATCTCACCCACCCCTCCAAAAAAGTTAAAAATGCGTGTAAGATTTATTGGAATTATTATTTCTTGTATTGACTTTCTTCAGAATAATTATCTTCTGATTATTGTGTCTATATAGCTCAGGATTTATTTAACCAATCCTATTTTATAATTTTTTTTTAGTTTTCTACATAATATAGTTTGATATTTCATGACTTAAAATCATAAATCTTTGTTTTAATTTTTTTTATTTATAAAATTTTTATATATTGACTGATCTTTTTATGTTTGCTGATAAGACTGGAAAGTTGAGGAAACGGAATTTCCCGTCGACTTATTTATAAAACTTGCATCGATTGTTAACTAATAATTAATTTATTGAACAAGATTTTTTTTTCTAAAAGTGGGATGGATATCTGTATTATTGTTGGAGGGCATTTAAAAAAAAATACGACTAATTCATGATTATTTTTTTATAAATAGAACTTATTTTATCCGCTGTAAAATCCCCTTTAAATGATTTTAACAATGACAAACCCACTTGCAATTAAAGAAAACTTTGTCTAGTTTACAACGAGGCCACCGTTCATTATCTCAATAACATATCTTTTCAGTTATCGCTTCATTTACAAGAAAAAACGTGACTTAAGTTCACATAAAACCTAAATTTCATTCTTTTTTTACGTAAAATCGGATGATACAAACATTTCTTTAGTTCTCAAGGTTTACTATCACCTCTCAAAATATATATATTTACTTACTTGACACATTTTAAATGACCGAAAATCTACATCAGACTTATACGATATTGAATAAGAATTTAAACAATATGAATAACCTAGTACATTCAGTACTGTAGATAGGTACAATAAATATTAATTAATTAATAACTGCAATTTTTTCAATAGGAATCCAATTTTTATTTTAAGTAACAGTAATGGCATTATTTTTTTTTTCGATTTAGTGATAAAAACCTACAAATATTTTTATAGACCATTGAATAATGAGGAGCATATTTTAAACTATGAAAATTATCATCAAAGAACGTTGGATCATCGAGGTCACAGAAAAAATTACAAAAGAGCAATTCAACTCTAATTGTTGTTAATATTTGTTATCAGTGCCAACTGAAATACTGGTCTAAATCACAAAGCTTCGTGTATCTTTATTAGACCATAAACAGAGTAGATGAAAAAAGGATTTGCTTATAACACAGATATATAAACCAGTAAAGGAAAACAAAACATTGAATATGTAGTTATTAAAATAAAATACTAATAATGCATAAGAAAGCAGATTAATATTTTAAGAAAACATATGGTAATGGAATTAGAGATTAAAGTAAACGAAAAACGGAGAGACCAAGTATATAATTAGAAGATAAAGTGGATGAAAAAATAATTGCCAATGAAATGACGTAAGCGGCAGCCATGGAGGAAGCCATACACATCCTTGAAAAGAAAATTAAAGAACAAGTTCTTCTGCACTTCTGTTTATTCCTCTATACCTCCCTCCTTTCCTCAACTTGCGGGCGTACCACGAGGTAATATCTTAAGCCCTCTTCTCTTTTCTCTCTACACATCTGATATTCTTGAGCACCCTTGAACCACTCTCTATTGATTCGCTGACGTTATTGCAATTGTTTCTTCGAACAAAATTCTAACTATCGCATCAATTTTCCTTTAAAAACACTTCCAAGACACATAAAAGTGATTCAAGGAATTAAAATAAATTACAGCAAGTCAAATCACGTTAGCTTCTCCTTACGGAATGGTTCAGGTCCGGAAGTAACAATAGTTAACAACCCAGTGCTCTCAAAAAAGTATGTACGTTATTCCGAACTATGTTTGGACAGAAAATTCACCTACACATACACACCATATTAAAAAAAAAACGACACAAACAACTGCCCCATCTTTGGACTGCAGATTTTCACTCAGCTTACAAAACTAAATAATCTTATTATTATAGTATTAAAGAATTAATACAACTTTTTTACTATATTTATTGCGCTTATAATTATATATTTCTTGGAAAATTATTTTTCTTATTTGTAGTTTATAATTAATTTATTTAATTTGTCTTATTTGAGCTTAGGATCTTTGTTTATGTATATTTACTTATTCTCAATAATCTACACCGCAATACTATAAGACCTTTTTTGGACATACGAAGAGCAAATTTGGAGATCCTCAAAACACGCCCCCATAAACAAATTTCAAACCGCACAATCCAAAACCCATTGTAAAATTATAAATGCGTCTTGGATTATTTCAAAACACACCATAAACAGTGACATCAAAATTAAAATCCTATATACATAGCAAGTACACAACACTTCATTCTTCTACTCTCAATTAGCCAAATCCACTTCTCCTGTCTCTTTCATCCTCCCTCACTTTTATCTCTTTCATCTTTTTCATCCTACCTGGCAAGCCTCAACGACGACTAAAAAGGCAAGTGTCTAGAGAGCTTCTGCAGGCAATGTAAGTAAATATCAAGAAAAATATAAAAAGAAGATAAAAGGTAACCATTTGCATGATGCATTACCACGCAGAGGCAAATGTAATGGAAATAAAAATTAAAAAACTATAATTTAGTTATAATGAAAATTACATCGATTTTTTTTTTAATTTCAGCAATCAAAACAGAATTTATTAATTGGTAGGAAAATGCAAATAAATCATATAGGAAAATGCGTCTCACTGTTTTATGTATAAAAGAGAACGAAAAAATTCTAGTTACGGGAAAAAAGTTACGGGAAATAGTTGTTCGCTTATTTCCCAATAAGAATAATGTGCGATAGCGAACATTTGCCTGACTAAATGCCGCAAAGAAGGAAATGTTCACCAGGGGGAGAAAGAAACAAAGATAAACGAAACGTCGGCGCATGGCTCCACAAAAAAGCCGCCTGGGAATCTGCTTTCCTTCCGGAGTCCAGTTGGAAAGTGTCGATAATCCTGCGTCATGGCGGCTGTGCCTTTGGATGAAAGTCTTCGTTTCTCCTAATAATTCATTCGCCCATCCTCTAATTCGTCGTCCTTAAGTAATTTCCAATCAGCCATCATTCCATTTTGTAACATCACTTTCCATTTCAGGAGTGACAAGTAGAATTCTTTTACGACATCGCATTCGGCCTCTCGACTTTTCTTCTTGGAGGTCTTTGAAGGTCTGCCGAACGAACACTCTTGACCTTTTCTTATTCATAACAAATGAGACCTCCGAGTTTTTTATATGAAAGGCGCACACAAGGTTTATGAAAGATCTATAATTTTTTAATAGAAGCAATCTATCAAATAAACTCCCTCTGCCTTCATCCATTAAATTTTAACGACCTCAGCGCAATAAAATGTGAAGGATTAATAAATCAGTACTACATCGTTTGTTATATAACAAGTGCCAGGTCACGATACTACAAAATGTTCTGTACAGTAAGATTCTCAATAAATGTAATTATTCATTTTACGAAAGCAAGGACCATGGCCTGATCATGACCATTATGCATTTATATTAAACGAGAAATGAGTATAAAACCATTTCACATTTACATATGTCCTAGGTACTTCATGCTGAAACCTGGGACCTACCCTGAAAAAAAAAAGGAGCAAGGAAATTTAAAATTGGTTTCTTTAAATGTTTTAAAGAGCATATTGAAATTGTTATTCCATTTACTCCTTCACTTTATTTTTCCATTTTATTTATTTCAAATAACTTTTGTAAAGGTTAAGTATTAAGATAAAAAAAGCCTCAAATTAAACTAAATTTATCAAGACGAACATCTTTCATTTTCAGCAAGTAAAGAAAAGACCATTTTTTTTTTTTTTTTATAGTTTCAATTCAAACTATTTCTGATTGTTTCATTTAGGAATGTTCAAGTTGATTCATAAAAAAAAAAAAATCATTTGAATTAGTTTAGATTCAAGCAATTTTACGAGAATTGGATTTTTCTCAACTTTTTAAAATTGACGTCATATTTATTACAATCTTAAAATTTGAGCGATTGAAATTTACACAGATTTTTTCTTTAAAAAGTAAAATCATTGGAATATGTTTGCTCGGTAGAAAAAAAAATCGTTTCACTTTGCGTGTTTTATGAAGCATGAGCCGTTTAATATTATGTATTTTTCTTATATGGTTTTTTAATTGGTGTGAAAATTAGAGGAAAAAATGTTAACAACTCCGATGGGAAAGCGATGGAATCCAAACTTCCATAATCATTCTGCCTTTTTAAATAAGCGCAATGAGATAAAAACAGATAACAGGAGAAAGCTTAACATCGAAAGTTAACTGATAAAAAAACGATAAAGCGATAACCTATACCGTTTTCGATTTCGTTATCGCCATATCATATTATTGGAAAGATATAATTTTCTTCAATAAGCAGCAATAATGTAAATATAATAAAATATTAAACAAGCTTTAAATTATTATCAAGAATTTGCATGATAATGATTAATAGTCATCATGAACTATAAATACAAAATGATATTGTCCAAGATCATAGCAAAATTTGATCAAATTTCAACAAAAACATGCTTTAGCTTGACTTATCAATTATTTTATCCCTGCCGCTCTTCCATATATTATATAAGGCTAAATGTCCAGCAATAATTTTATTTATGTATTTATTTTATTTTATGCAATTTGCACCTGCGCAGCTGCGCATCTAGCAAATTTGTTGTAATTTGTTTAAATTATAAGTTTTTTTTTATGTATATGTATCAGTCACGAAATTGTAGAAATATAAATAAAAGCAATAAATCTGGGTGCTTGCCTAGTCTTTTTCACTTGTTACTCTAAATATGAATTAAATTAAACAAAAAAAATGTTGATTTAAAGAATTAATAAAACTGTTTTAATATATTTATTGCGCCTATAATTATATATTTCTTGGAAAATTATATTTCTTATTTGTATTTTTTAATTCATTTACTTAATGTTTGATTTGTTTTCTTTGATCTTACGATCTTTGTTTATGTATATTTACTTATTGTCAACAATTTAGAACTTTAAATTTTAAATTAGTTCTAGAAATAGTGCCATATCCTGATATTTAACAAAATGATATAAAAGTCTAATAGAACATAAGGTTTGACAAGAAGGCACGAACCTAAGATTAAAAATGTATAATTACTTCTTGCAATATTTTCAAATTAAAAATCATAAAATGAACACTTATGTTTACTTATAAAGCTTATATTAACCTATACATCAGCATATCAACTAAAATTAAAAGTAAACAAAAATTTTTAGAAGTAAAACATCTTAATAAGTTATCAATAAACATACTTATAAGCAATAAGAGTACACTAAAACAGATATTTTCAATTACAACGTTCATTAAATACTAACATGTCTACAACCCATACTCACCGTAGAAGGTTGAAAACATCAGTATTAAAGCTTCCAGAATATATGATATTATGTTATGGATTTATTGTAAATTCTGAATTGTGTAAGTTAATTTATAAATTAATATAAAATCCTTTAACAAATATTTCTGATTTATTTCGTTTCTATGATGATTTAAAACACTTTTAATAATGTAAAAATTAGTGAGAAATATTAATATGGAATTATATTATTAATTATCATTCTTAAAGCATTTAACAGATTATATTAATGTAATAGTTAATATTAATTTTTTTAATTATTGTTTTCAAAAGAAAAATACTCTATTGAGAAAAACAAATTATTCTGATAGATTTTTTGTGAATAAAAAAAAAGGATTTTTTAAAACTTTTACCACTACAACCCATCTAGGGACTTGGGTTCAATACATTGCGAAGAAAATACTGTTATGAAGATACTCAATAAGCAATATTCATTAATTAATAAAGAGTCCCCACTTTAAAGAGGCAGTGTGTCCCCAGGAGATTATCTCGTGGTCTCAGGACCGATTCAGGGTAGATGTATTAGATTAAAACATTACCTGCCAGCCATAATCGAACCCGGAACCTTCAGCTTAGAAAGTCAGTGATTTGCTCACTAAGCTACCCCGCTCCCTATTTGTGGATATGAATTAGAATAATTTTTACCAGCTATATGTACTGCTAAGCCATTTAACCATTGATACCAAGAAGTTATGAAAAAGATCTGTGGGGCTCAGATATAATTTTTAACACCAAACTCATTCAATCCTTTCAGCCTAAAGTCCTTCGAACAATAATCGATGCTCCTTTCTATGTAACCAACAAAACCCTTAACTTTCCAATTGTCCTAAGCCTTGTCCCAAAATATATATACAAATAAAATATTTTTCAAAATTTCACCTGAACCTTACGTATAGTCCAAATCCCCTTACACAATCTGTATCCAGCGCCATCCATCCCTATAATCATCCAAGAAGCTTAAGAGGGCAGTGGCCTCGCAAACATTTTCATTATGCATATTTCAGAATTCTGGCAATGGCCAGATTCTCCACTCAGCAGGTCAGCGAATGTGACCAAAGCGCTCTTTCTCAATCTCCACTGGCTTTAGCACCGGTGAGGAGGTTAGAGAGTAACGCAGGAATCTTCTCCTGCTTTTCCCTCTACAGTTGAAGGGTCAGACCTGGTTTGGAGTTCCTCTGTCTTTTATTTATATTGCAGTTATTTTATTTTTATTAATTTTATATACTTTTAGATTGATATTTAGCTGTTATTTTGCTTTATTTATTTTATATTTTCTGTACATATAGTGTAAATGTAGTATTATTTCACTATAATTATTGTCAAGTAATATTATTAAATTAATTCTTTTTTTTAAATAAAGAAGTAACTGAACTAACTTATTAATTCAGATAATTAATTAATTGGTTATTAAATACATTAAGAAAGACTTTAACAAGGGAAGAAGAGCGAAGACGGCAATGACCTTGACATCAGCTGGAGAACCGTTAGCAGCTGACCTTCACCTCCCTAACCCGCACCGTTACTCCCACACCAGGTGGGACATCTTGACGTCACTGGGTCTGATGTAGTCAATGGCCTTAGTGAAAACTGGAAACAGTAGGGGCACACCACACCACAGCAAAGCTTGTCACTGCCCAATCTAAAACAAGCGTTCCTATATCAAGCGGATGGATGGCAAAGATAATCAACCTAGGCTACTCTGTGACTACACGTCAAGTAACGAAAAACATAAAAAAAAAAAAAAATTAACTTACCATCCTAAAAAGAAAAATATTTCATTTAAACATAAAATCTAAGTTAATTTTTTATTGTGGATTCATGGTTGAATGTCGTAAATACAATACATTGAAGAGGAGTTAGTTGGTGTGTTCAATCAAAGAAGGGACAAAGTAGATATAAATTTATTATATTTATTTTTATTTCCTTGTGTCGAGGTTTCAGTTTAAGTTTCTGGCCTTCATCAGAGTTGTTGTTCTCATGGAGAGTGACGAGAGACACCTTAGGTTTCTGACTTCTATCTGTCTCTCGTCACTCGTCACAATATGTTGTAAATATAATTCATTTATTTTAATTGAGTACTCAATGGTTGACCGTACTATAATATAAGTCTATATAAAAGATGGTACGGGGTGGTAGTCATATAAAAAAAAACTTAAAATAATAAAAAACAATTTTATTTTAATGCAATTTTTTAAAACAACTTTACAGTGTTTCATCAGGAATATTGTCGGGATAGAGCTCAGTGCGAAACTACAGTTGTTTTTTTTTAAGTATAAATCTCTTTAGGTGCGTTTTGCTCTTTTTTATGGAAAGTGAATTAGATTGAGCCGTCAGATCTCCGATGTGTAACGCTCCGGTAAAGTCAGCTGGAGTCAACTAATTGAAGTGTTTTTGCATATGGTTTAAAATATCTCAAAAACTAAAAATCGGACCTGTATATTATTAGCGAAGGAAATATTCAGAATTTCCCTTTGTAATAAGTTATTAATTATAATCTATATTTCATATATTTATTCTCGCCTGGTTGATATTTTTACTTTTATTGTGTGGTCTAAACCACACACTTTAGTTTTTTTTTTTTTTTTTTTTTTTTTTTTTAATTCCGAACCATCTTTTTTCTCATTATTTATTTATGTTATCTTATTTTTAATGAATAAACCAAAAACAATTCTCTTAAATAAGTTATTTTTTCATTTATTCGTTAGTAAACATATAAATGAATTGCTTTATTAGATTCATCCTTGAAGATCCTAGGCGCCCTCACATCTTCAATTGGTTTCCAGTTTTCTGATGGTAATAATTTCCTAGGTCTATTCCTTTCTGACCCTTTACAACCCAAAAAATCTTGCTTAACTTCTTGATTTGTTTACTACTTGTTCCTCTTTCCATCCTATAAAAACGAGATGCAATCCAAAAAACCTGTATATTACTTCACATAGAATATACATAGATACGTTGTTTTGGAATTTCTTGCCCACCTCCATACGCAAAACCTCTACATTAACCTCATTTAAACATCAATTATTTTTTCCATCTCCTCAGCAATTAACCTTTCGAATATATATTGATATATAACTTGATTTTACAATAATTTGCCCGTTATTATTTATACTGCCTACCAGTGCAGATATGTAATGGTACTGATATTTATTTATCTATAATTTCATTATTTCATTTGTTCAATAATTCTTATTGCCCTTTATGGCCCTTTATTTAGATTTTAAAGTTAGATAATTCTGTTTTAATCATTTCTTGACTTTCTGGCAGAAAAAAATGAATAAAACCTTAATATTTTACATCTTATCTGCAGTAGAAATAGACAAGGAAATCAAATATGGATTTCTTAATTATATTTGAAAAAGCTTTCAATTGAAGTTACATCGCTACTGTTAGTAGTTACTTGATGATATTTTACGATAAAACAAATAAAAATTCAAAAAGCTATATTCAAAATTTATTAAAATCATAATAGGAAAATATCTTGATAATTAAGACATATTTATGATTTATCTACTTATTTCGTGTCATAATGTTTTTCAGTTGCGATTTGTAGCTGTTCAAACAAAAAAAAACTGTTTCAGATAAAAAAAAAAAAAAAACACCTATGTATCGTATACAATGTCCAAAAATGGAAAAAAAAAAAAAAAAAAAAAAAAAACGAAGGGAAGCTGAAATGACTAAGATCACACTGATATATTAAAATGAAATAAAACATGGCAAAGTTGATTCAACTATTTTTTAAAAGCCAAAGCAGAAAATAACCATAAAATGCAACAATGCTTCGTGTTCGGAAGCACTGCAAAATCCAGCACATGACTGTGTCTAACTCGATGCCGTTCTCTTTGAAACCGCACCATGCATTCAAAGAAATCTATGAAAGTAGAACAAACCGTATCAGGTATAAGTAGGTAAGAGGTGCCATAATAGTCCAATAATGAATCATGTTTGCGTGTTGCTCGTCGTAATTATCAAAAGCACGTTTATTCCACAAAACAATAACTGGTTCTTAGACAAGTTGAATAGCTTTCCTTCATATTTCTTCAGAGCTGTTACAAGTAGAATTTTTATCTCGCTACTGAATATAAATTAGAATGAGAGATCATCTTCAATAGATTTTTCTTAGTGTTGTAGAGTTCAATAACTAGCTCCTTTTTTATTTAAAGGCAACAAAAATAAGATAATCCAGTACGGCTATATATTTATTTAGTTTCATATGCAATATCAAAACTAGTTTAATATTACAATATTTTTTTTAAACATTACAAAATAAAATAATAAACTTTTCAAAACGCTAACCCCAAAATACAAACCAATGAGATGACAAACTTTAGTTGCCAAAAGATGGAAACCTCAGGCTAGACTATAAAACACTTGTGGGCCCCATTACTAGGCCAAGACGATAGCTCATGGTAGAGACCCATTTTTTTTCGAATCATTAACACCCTCCAATAACTTTATGAATAGCTTCATCTCATCGTAATCTACAACATTATTATTTACGAAATTCTCGGATTTTTTTTTTTTTTTATGTGGAATTCGGCAAACTTTGTCTATTTAATCCGGTACTAAAAACTCACTAGCACCCATTTGCTTTCCAGTTAAATCGTAAGGTAATTTGATAACAAAATAGAGAAAAAAAAGAGACATACAAAAATATTGTGGCCGTGACCTCCACCTCCAACATGTCAAATTATCGAGCTTATATAGGCGAATCAAATTTAACCTACCAATGTGATTTAAAAACCTCTTCATTGTCATCCAATGCTTCTCTTATTGGAAGGTATGAATTAGGAACGGGGTGGCCGAGCGGAATAACTCGTGTGCACTAATGCATATAACTCGTCAACCTGATAACCAAAGTTAAAGACAATGAAATAATTACGAGTTCGCTTCGCGGTGAAGGGGGAGGACGGACTTTTAACTCTGGCATTAATCCCCCGTGCACACTATCTGACCCGGGAAAACCCCCATCTAGCCAAGAAGACGAGGAAAGAGAGAATGAAAGAAAAGAAAAAAAATAGTAGGTATATTATGCATTATTCTTTTATCAGTATGTAATGTGATTGTTATTATCTGCTTCAGTGTTAGTAATGTATGACATGTCTCATTAAACAGTAATTTCTAGGCCTTTTAGCGTCAATTTCTTCCTCCCTTCTTTTTTAGCAGACATTCATACTTTTGATTAACATTGTAAAAGGTTACATATTTTTTTCCTACCTGCACCCCACTTCTTTACAGAAACATCTTTTAAAACATTTACCAACCTTAAACAGCCTGTTCCTAATGCTTGTAAATGACCAATCAAAAGATTGATATCCTTTAAAAATAGTAAATAAATACAAAATATTTTTTTATTAAAGATACAAGATTTTATTTTTTTAACTTAAGTAAATTCTTATGAGATCATAATTGTTATTAAAGTATTTATTAATTGAATTTAAAATTACCGAGTGGGTTAAGTTTCTCTAGAACAACCTGGTAGGCAATAGTTACCTATTGCCAACAGCAACATTGTGTTTCATCCTCCACTAATTACTTATCCAAGAGCCTCTAAAACAATAACCCCCTGTTCTGCAGAAGTGAAAGAAACGATAAACAATAAGGGATGTTGGGTAAATAGAAAGGCACTGTTTGTCCACGGATGGCTCAGACCTTGGAGTAACAGAGAAGGGTAGGAAGTGCGGGGTTTCACAAGAGGGTTTCGGTTGTCTTCTGCAATCCTCCCTTTCTCAGAAGTTAAGCACCCATTTCATTAGTTCTTAGGAGGAGCATTGTACTCGTGAATTAGCAAACGCTTTGCTTCAACTATGTTGGTTTCGGAACGTCTAACATCAAGCAAGCATTGCTTTAGCCAAGGAGTTTCGATATTCATAATAAAATGTAAAATATAATGTGGTGTGCACATGTATATATTTTTCCTTCACTGTTGAACTATAGGTTAAGTCAGTTATTCTAAGACCCTGGTTTGAAACTAGAGCAGTGGTTTTAATCTGTTCATTTGACGTCACATAATAGTATACTAGTTGTCTGTCGAGTTCTATATAGAGGGTCAAGGAGGGGAGGGGATGGGGACTCCAAATTCACGAACTATTTTTCAATTTCTAGAATATAAATTTTAAATGGCGCATCCTATTAAAACCTAATCCAGTTGTAAATTAAACATCGTTAAGTTCAATACCTCAAATATTGTATTCAGTTCGTTAGAAAAGTTAAAGTTGACAACGTTTATTAGTTAGTAAATTTATTTAGGTAGTATAAAGAATATTTTCCACTTAAGTGAAAATAAATATAAATTTATATAGAATCTATAAAGGTAAAAGAACATAAATAGATTTTATTCCTTCTTAAAGAATTCCATATTTGTTTTTTTACCTTTTAGACTAAACGAGGGTTTCTCCCCTCCTCTTGGCTTTGGAAACCCATAGATATAAAATAAAAAGGCTTTCATCAGTATGAAATTTCATCAGCAAGGAGTACAATGGAAGGAATACATATGGAAAAAAAAATTAAATTTAAGTCTCTTTTGCATATTATTACACTTTTGCAGCCCTCTTATAATAAGAGTCAG